AAATCGTTGATTTATTTATTTTTGCCCAGACATCCATAAATGTAATTTCATCACGAAATTTACACGCGAGATCTTTTTCTCTCTAGTTTTTATGATTTTACTGTCTGACGAGGGTGTGCAATATGAGCGCGAGTATAGAAGCTCCACGTCCTGCCCACCTAGCCATTCTACTCATGATGGCCAGTTTGTCTACAGTGTTACTACTCGTTTCTCAAACACAACCACAAGTCACAAGTGTACGTAGTTTTGGCGTGGAAGCCACTTCAAATTTTCTTGCCTCGCTCCCGTTCTTTACTAGTACAGAATTAATCGCCGGATCTTTTCACGTCGTCACATCACGGCGGTGATGGGGAGAGAGACAGCCAGCCAGACAGACGGGTGGCGGCGCGGCGGTGGCCAGACCCGCGGAGCGCGTGGATCGCCAGGTCCCTGTCCTCTCGGGTCACATGGCCGGGCCGGGACGGGACCGAAGAAAGGACGCATGCATGCAATAATTGACGTGCAGAATAGCCCGGCGCGTGCCGCGGCCCCCGCCCCGACGCGCCGTCTCGTGGGGTCGACGTGCCCCGCGCCCCCTCGCCTCGGATCAACCAGGAAGGAGCGGCCGCGGCGCGCCGGGCGGTGGCCGTGCCCGACAGCGCGTGGCACAAGACAACTCGCACGCACGCACGGTGCGACACGGCAGGGTGCTCTCTCTCTGCGCCACTGCGTCCCTCCACCTCGAGGATGTCGCGCACCGCGTCGGCGGCCACGCGGGGACGGGAGGCCAACTACCTCCGGGCTCCGGCGCACGTTGCCGCCGCAGTTTCCGTGCTTGCTCGATGGCGAGATCAGACGGAGCCACAGAAACAGGATGCTACCAAGTTTTTCGGCGGCGAACGGACCCGATCTACACCTGTTGGGTCTGAGCGGGCCGGCCCATCTTGGGGCCGAGGTGAAAGGTGATACCCGTGTGGGCCGCACCTGCCGCCCCAGGAGTTGAACAGGCCGGGCTAGATATATGGAAACCTCCCGGCCCTGTCCGGCTCCAATATAAGCGCCCGGATCACAGGATAGACCCCTGCTAAAACAAACCTACTCCTTCCCCCTGTTTTGAATTACTTGTTGTGAGTATAGATGTATCTAGATGTATTTTAGTTTTAGATGCATCCATTTCTGCGACGAGTAATTTGAAACAGAAGGAGTACAACGAAGGAAGGAGTACAACGAACCCTCGGTCAAGCGCCGCCATGGCGGCGAAACCGGAGGCCACGGCGGCCGCGGGGAAAGAACCGTGTCCGTGCTCTGTGGTCTGGACGCGGTCACCGGCGGCGGCGGCCAAGCACAAGAGAAGGCAGCGGAGCTCGAAGCATCGGAAGGAGGCGGCCAGGTACAAGAAGAGATGCGAGGAATTCGAGCGTCTTGCCAAGTACTGGACGCTCTACGTCGTGCTGGCTGCCGTGTTCGTGCTCGCGGCGCTCTGCCTCCGCCATTGGAGCTCCCTCGCCGCCCAGGTCTGCGCGGTCATGGCGGCCGGGTGGATGCTTGGCGTCGCCAGGGTCACCACACTCCTTCGACGGGTCTTCTCACGGGACGACTTGTTCAGGCCCGATTATGACGAGCCGTGGGACTAAAGAAGCGGCCACGGGAGCCTGATTAGATCTTGTTTGGAGCAACAAGAAGCGGGCTTTGTGTCTTGAAGCAATATAAGAAACCGTATTTGTGTGTGTTTTATAGCACTCCCTCTTTGGTGATCTAAAAATGGAATCCTCTATAATGTTATACTCCCTAATTTTAGAGGTCTCAGAGTCAATTAATAAGGTTTCCAATTAAAATTAAGTCATCCAATTTTGACCAGGTCAACAATTTCTTAAAGCTCTCTCATTCAGTTTTTTATACTATATACTATATTTTCTGACAATTAATTGATGCCTTTGTTTTAGATTTGGGTCATCAGATTTTGATTGGTCAAAAATTTCTCAAGGAGCTTTCCTATTCAATTCTTTTAATTCACTAGCAAAAAAGCCCGTGCGTTGCAACGGGAAAATTACCACACTCTCCTAACACAATAATTATGACTCGAGACCACAATATGTTCGTCCTTTATTTCAACGCATGGCGTCCCATCTGTGTTGCTACTTATCCTCCTCCCTATTCTCGTTGTGATCTCAATACTCACGCAATCACAATACTTTTGAATGTTATCCATCCTAAGGCGAGAAAATCTACTTTATTTTATTGGGTGTCCAGGCATATATGTTTCCGCCGTGTGTGTTGGCCTATGTAGTCAGTATGAGTATACGTTAAAAAAGTACAAACGGATGCAAATCCAACTTCAAGAAGAAGAAAAATTGTGTGCATGTAGATTTAGAGAAGCATACAAATGCATGTACTGCTATGAGAAAGATCTAACACAATCGGGATTCCTCTGTTGAAAATATTAATCGGGATCCCCATGCACCGTTGTCCCCTTCCAACCTTATCATCCTTGTCTCTCTCCCACGCACTTCATCAACTGTCCGTTCCGTTTCTCCTCCTTTTCCTGCCCTCGCCAAGGCAAGTCCATCCCGACCTCCCCCCGCGGATGTGCCCGCTGGCCGTGATCCCGCCACGTCCCCTCCTCCCCTCCCCACGCGTGTCGTGGTGGTGTAGCCCCTCTCCAACCTGTGGAGGTGGCTGGTGGCGATGGGGGCTGCAGGGCCGCGCTGCCGCGGTGTGCAGTGGCTCCGTTGGTAGCCAAGATCTGGCGGCCGGCCGACCAGGGCCCGTTGCCGGCGAGCACAACCTCCACCGCTCCATCCTCTCCTACTGCGCCCTTCGCCTCCTCGCGCGCCCGCTTCGCCTCTCCCCTACTTGCGTCGTGGAGGCGGCGTAGCCGCTACTTTCGGCTCCACTGCTTGCACCATGGAGGCGCCAAAGCCGCTGTCATCGGCTGACGAGGGCCACAACGCCGCCCCACCACGAAGCTCGTGGACGAGCAAGGCCAGGGTTGCTCCCCTCCGTCCGGCCTCTCCTTTTCCCGGAGCAGGCCCAACCTTTGCTAGCGGGCCAATTTCTATCAACATCATCCCAATTTCTTCCGCATCTCTCTGGGTTCCGTTGGGTTCCTTCGCTGCACACCTATCTGGATTCGTTGCTCCGCTGATTTCCATTGCCTCTTGTTAGAATCATCAAGGCGCACGTATATGAACTGATGAAATTAATTTTGAAGTAGCGATGTCGGATTTTATAGAGAAAATCAACTGCTCTGCATCGTGTGTGGGAGACGGACATCATGGGATTTTTTTCTCTTCCGGGTTGATTCTATACAGACTGCGGGGTGATTCTATAAAATGCGAGGGGCTTTTCTACAAATTACCGGTGATTAGTACCACCTTGTATATAGAAAATAAATATAGAAGTGTTGATGAGAAAAAATGAAAGCGTAAATTAATAGGAAGAAGCGTATTGTGACGATGAACCCACGAAATCAATCCGTGCTTTATTATTAGGGAAAGATTATGTTCTCTAATTTTGAAAGTCTTTCATTCAATTGAGATATCTAATTTTGGATTTATTTTTACAATTTTGATTGCGCCAATGATTTTTCAAATCAATTAGCAGCAATCGACCTACAGAAACATATCAATCTCGTGCAGCCTCCCACCATCTAGAAAAAGGAAACACACCATGTGATATTGTAGCACCAATATAGTACATGCTGCCAAAGAAATGTTAGTTGATTAGATAACACAAAATCACACAACATCAAATCATTGCAATATATTATAAATAAAAATAAAAGATACACCATCACCGCCCTGACCAGCCCGTGCTAATCGTGCCTGGCCCGGCACGGCCCGCCGTGGCATGTTTAATAGCCGGGCCGTGCCGTGCCGGCCCACGGGCGTGGCTCTCTGGCCCAGGCACGACCTGATTATTAAACGGGCCGGCCCGTGGCACGTTTAGCACGCTGGCCCATCTGCTTTTAGCCTGTTGGGCTGTATTTTAGGCCTATTGGGCTGTAATTTAGGTCATATATATAAAAAAATTCCAAAAAAAATTTAAACGGGCCGTGCCGTGCCGGCCCGTGTGCCCAGCCTCCAGGCCCAGGCATGGCCCATGGCGTGCCGCGTGCCGGGCCTAGCCCGTTTAGCTCGGGCCGTGCCGTGCCTGGGCCGTGCCGTTCCTGCGTGCTACCGGGCCGGCCCAGTTAGCACGGCCCATTTGGCCAGCTATAGCCCTCACCCTCTAAATGAAATATTCCACCAGTTCCAAAATATAAGTGGTAATAGTTTTTTGAAAAGTCAAATTTTTTAACTTTGATCAAGTTAAGAGCCAAAACATTGACGTCCACGATATTAAACAAGAAAATATGGAAATTCATTTCATGATGGATCTGATGTTACTGATATGATATTATGGACTTTGATATATTTATCTATGAATTTAATCAAACTTGAAGAGATTTGACTTTTCAAAAAGTAATACACCTTATATATTTTAAAACAGAGTGAGTAATTTTTTTAAGAAACCCAAACAACACCAACAACGTAGCAAACCGCGCCCAACCCTTCTGGTATATGTTAAGCCACCTCGTATTGAGTGGTTGGACTGAAACGTGTTGGCTATGTTCTACTCTCTATTCTCTACACTTTCCCTTTTTCTTCTGTTTGTAGAGAAGCTAATAGTGGTGGCACATGTGTGTGTGAGACATGGAATATAATGCCAACAAATACATCCATGCTAAATTGCACAATAAGGGCCTCTTTGATTTGTAGGATTTTGAGAACATAGCAATAGGAAAAGTATAGGGTTGGAGTGGCGTGCCCACTTGAATCTTATAGGATAAGCAATGAGTATTTGAGATGCCACAGGAAAAACAAAGAAATTGTAAAAAGATATTGGAGTGGATGTCAGATTTTCTATAAAAATATAGTACAAAAGATTTCATAAAAAAAATTTCTATGAGATCTAATCCTATAAATCAAAGGATCAACATAGAAAAAAATCCTAAGAATTTCAGTCCTTCAGAAATCCTATAAAATTTCTTTGAATCAAAGGAGCCCTAATAGGCTAGATATATACATCCGTACGTTGTATTCTATGAAAAGGAACAAACTCACGGCATTTCTTATAGCCGAGAGGAGTTTTCTCATAAGATGTTTTATTCTTTTTGTACGTCTAACCTCATATCTGTTTCATTCTCTATTCTTCCCTCTACGTACTTGATAGAAAAAGAAAAGCAGAACTCCTGCTGCTCACGTAAAAAAGAAGTGCTTGAGAACTTCTTGATCTCACGAGAGGCTCATAATCCGAAGGTTCTTGTCCAGGTTTGCCGAAGGGCGGCTCTCGTTAAGCGCATTTGCGAAATGAGAATCTGTTGGGTCATCACAGTATATCAACTCCGTGTCTACGATGCCGTCCGCACGAGAGGACACCTTCTTCAAATTTGAGGCAAGCGCGGACGTGTCTTTCCAAAATCAGTGTGCGCTGCTCCGATATGCAGACCAACAGGTGGATTTGCAATCTTACTTACGCCAAACTCGCAAATGGTGCATCGCCCTGCACGTGAAAAACGAGTTTGCTCAGCTAGTTAAACCATTTCACCATTCGATTTGAACTTTCGAAGCCATTATATATATATTGTGGGCGAAAAAAACAGCCCAAAAATACCAAGAGCGATGTTGTTAAGCAAATTGCAAGGCACTTACCAAGATATGCATCATTTGGGCTGTAGTAGGGCAGGGGACAGCAGAAAGAGACCTCCGATTCTTTGTCGCTGTAACGAACCCCTAAACGGCAGCATGGCTCGGTGTTGTCATGTCGGCTCTCTTCTCCTCCCAAACCTGAGCGAAGAAGAGCATCCGCGTGCCGTCGGATGCCGCGGCGAGGAAGTTGATGTGGTAGCAATGGGAGGAGAGATAGGGGCTCTTCTTCGCCACGCCGCAGATGGTTTCCAGCTCAAATGTTGGTTCCCACGGGCGCTGATCGGCGTAGCCGCGGAGGAGCTGTTCAAGCTCTGTCCGTAGAAACCTCCGCCTCTTCTCCAGCCATTGCTTCCTTGCTGGAAGACTACTATCCAAGTGATTTGAGTTAATTGCATGGAAGTACCCCACTTGGGGCAGTTGTAACGGATCAGTACCATTATTCAGTTTTTTTGCAAGTCAGTACCACGTTTGAGGCTAGTCGTTGCAATACGGGCTAAGTCGCATATAAATCTGTATTGACACTGTATCTGACAGCCCGGCCCCACCAGTCAGTTGACCAGCTGCCGAACCGATGCGTCTGGCTAGAAAAAACCCGGCTCGGTCGGTCTTGGCTCGGTCGAACCCTAGCATTTCTCTCATGTCCCTCTCCTCGCGATGGCTACTCCAGGCGGCGGCGGTGGCGGTGGCCGGAGCAGCGGTGGCTTTGTGGGCGGGTACGGAGACCTCCCCGGACTCGGGAGCGATGCGCATAGAGGAATCGAAATCGACAACGGGGAGTCCAGTTCGTCAGCTTACTATAGCGATGATGACGAGGGCATGGAGGCGCCGCTAGCCATGGAGCAGTGGCTGCGGCTGGCTGAGATCTGGATGGCCAACCCTACCACGAGCCATCACTGGAGCCATGGATTGGGTGGCCTGCTGTGAGTGCCCTCTTCTCTCCCTCT